TTTAATTTTGTTTTAATGAAGATGTATATCCCATCAGGGTAACACAATCAACAATTCACTGAGACAGTGACTATCATTTCCTATATTAACCCTACAGGGAAGAAAGTACTCAGTATCAAACAGCTCAGTCATTTCTTTCTCTAGGAGTACCTTTTTGGATACATTACCAATAGGCAAGGAAAAGAGATTTATTTACACTGTCAAGACACAGGACAGAAGTGAAGCAGCACTGTCTGTGCTAATAAGAAATGCATTTTTAAAAAGTGCTAACAAGCTACAACACACAGGTTTTCTAAAAGCTTAGGATATTAATGCATTACAGAAGAGATGCCAGTAGTGCTGGCACTCACGAACAAATGTGGGGCTGGTTTTCAAAGCTGAGGTGTGTTTTCCCAGCCTTTTAACACTTGTTTTAGAAACTAACTCTCCAAAATAGCCACTGGGCCCCATTACCCTGCAGAGGGAAGTGTGGAGTGCAAACCCAAAACCTCCTGACTCCATCTGAAATGTAATTAATTAGAGGCCTCAAGGTACCACAGACAAAAGCCCATTTATATGGAAATTCCTCCTCTAAAACCAGACATGTAGAAACCTCCCAGTTTAGCAAATAAGTCAGTGTGGAAACTCATCCTTGCCTGTTCGACCAGCTACAGACTCATTTCACATCACCCTCAAATGCCTACTGCTGGGCAGGAGAGTGCTCAGGCTCCAGAACTTCACTTAGCACTTCACTAAATGAGACACAAAATATTTGCAATATTTACACAGTGGACAAGCATCCCAAAATTACATCTACCGAATGTGGGTTTGGCTAAAAAAGATAGTTTCATCCTCTTTATTCTTCCTAAATTTGCAGCAAAATTGGCCTTGAAAAATATATTATAGCATGTCTCCCATAATTATTTGGGGAAAAAAGTTGTCCCTAAAAGTAAAAAGTGTTAAGAGTCATTAGAAAGTCATAAGCTAACTTTTCAGAAAACTAACTAGTTTGTATTTTGAAAACAGACCTTGTTTAGTAACAGGATGCATACATGGGGTAGGCAAGTGTGGGGAGTCTCCTGCCTTTCTCTCAAAGAAAAGAGAAAACCTCTGGATCACAGGAAATAACACAAATTTTAGAAAATCCCAGCGGTATGAGGGAAAACACTTCAAATAAATCTGTAAGCGCTCAAAACAATGTTAAAGGACAGCAGATGTTCTTCCCCCCCGCCCCTCACTTGCTTGTTCAGAGACTCACACACTCCTTAGAAGTCCTTTATTTGCATTGATTAAAGTGGGTATTCAGATCCAGACTCATACAAATGGAGAAACTGCGACAAATAGGTGCATAAGGAAGGACAGGCTGTGCCCATCCTCTTCTTGCTGAAAACCACCCACCCTCTCTGAATACACAAGGATAATGGAAAAATACAGACTTTTAAATACACTTTTTCTTTGGACTTTGATATCTTTATAATGTAAATCACATCCAAAAAAAAAAAAAAAAAAAAAAGTGAAGTCTTAAATTTAGGCTGAAAACTACTTTGTGAATTAATTTTTTCATTTGCTGCTTTGTGGTATGTGGCTGACAAACCAATGCCTTGGCTGAAATGTTGCCAAAATAAAATGTAATCATCACTGTAACTCCTGCCATTATAAGTCAACTCTGAAATTAAATCAGCAATTCAGATTCAAGTTATGGTCAACTGTTCTTAAGCAGGATGCTTTCCCCCAGCCATCTCCACCAGGAAGCATTTCAGTTAAATAAAAATGACAACAACAATATAGGTCCAGATGCGGCCATGAGAAAATAAAATGACATGTGGGTATCAAAATCCAAATGCAAAACACCAGAGCTTTATCTCAAATTTGTAAGCATCTAAAATGCCAGGCATTAATATAAGAATTGATAGTTTTTTTCATCGGCTCTCTAGGTAAAAGCAATCAATAAGGCTGGGAACAAGGATCAAAGAAAGCCCAGCCCAAGCCATTAAGCAAAAAAAAAAAAAAAAAAAAAAAAATCAGCTGTGCTTAGCACGATGTTCTTTACTTCCTCCACAAGCAATACAGCTTTATCAGGAGTGATGAACATTCCATGATGGTCCTGAGCAATGACTAAGCCAGGTGAATGACAATAGCTCCAAAGTTTAGGAGCTATGGATTTGAATCTTCTTAACCAAAGCTGGGTGTAGAACAAGTTTCTTGTGCCTTGGACAACTACTGTAAACCATGTAGGAAAATAAGCATGGAGATCCTGTCCCCACCAGTACCTGGAAGCACAAGAACAGCTTCTGTGAGTTGGGCAGTTGGGTACTGAGCTCATGTGTCAGTGTCAGGTCTGGGGACATTCTGAAAGAAGCTTTCCATGCAAGTACCAAAATCCCAAAATGTAAATGGTCACACGGCAGTCGGTCAAAGTGAAACCCACACTTATTATGGGAAAGATGTTAAAGGGGGTTTCACTTGCTGAACTGGATCTGAGTCCAACTGTTTGAATTGAATTCAGAATTACAGGAGGTGTTTTGTTAATACACTGAAATTACCTGCTTCTGCCACTTCTCCTCTGCATTAGTATTCATTCATAACCATGATCAGAGCAACTAAAACAGATGGTACTTTGAACTTGAATTAGTAGGCAAAAACTAACCTGCAAACTACTTTTTTCTCATAACTTCAAATAACAGGGTTTTTTTGTTGTGAGGATCTAGCACCTAAGTATTGCACAAACCGTAGTCTCAAAGGCCAAACAATTCATTAACTGAACATAGCAGTAAAAAATTTACAGCAAAATACTTCATTAGCACAAACAATTCTATACCTTCTTTCAGTTTCATTTTCATTAAAACAAAAAACTTCTGAAAGCCAAGAAATGCAGTGTCAAGACACAGCCTGTAGGCTCCTCACCCAAGAAACTGCAGGGATTATCTGCAAACACAAGAACTGTGGTCACTATACAAAGGGTGATGTTGTGGACACAAAACTAAGTCTGACAGCAATGCAGAAGGATCTTGGGAGTCTGGGGAATCTTGCTGCTAACCTACACAGGAGGTAAACTGGGACTGACAATTGCCTCTGCCCCATTCCTGCCTGTTTGGTCCCTTGCCACCCTACCTTTCCTATTTCTTTCTCTTTCCTCCTCTGTGGGATTTTCCAGTGTGCACCTGAACTCACAGTGCTACAGACTTCAGTAATTCTGTGCTGATAACCAGGAGCACAGTAACCCTCCCCTGCTGGTGAGCAAAGAGCATCTACCTATACAGCTTGGAAAAGCCAGGGCCTCCTGCTAGGATTAACATTTTTAGAACAAAAAGATGTTAGTACACTAGGGAATATCAATTAGAATGAAGTGAAATAAATACTGGAGCTGAAAAGAGCATACAGCACTATGTGTCAAGTCTATAATTTATATACTAGAGTTAAATACCACCTTCTCCTGCTAAATCTCCAGCTATCCAACTCCCCCATTCAGTAACTTATATCAATGATTTCATGAATATACCTTCAAATATAGTATGTTGACTGGAATTCATTATTATGTATTCAATAGTGTACTATATAATAAAAAATATGAATATGTGTTTCTATAACATTAAGAAGCCGTAACACTTCGCCTGTGCCCTTCATTTATTTTGCAGGAGAAGGTCTGGAAACAGTTTTTCACTCATGAGAATGAGGGAAATCAAGCAAATATGTTCTCAATTTAAATTTGTGTTGACTGTTGGTATCCCTAAACACAGACATGTCCTACCAATTCTGTACTATTACATATACATATGTATATACTTAAAATTACTGAGAATTTGCAATCAATAAATCAGCTACACCGTGTAATCCTTCCACGAAACTGTTGACTAAATATGAATTCTCAGCCTGGTGTAGAAACTATGCTTAATCATTATAACATAGTTTCTTGACAAAGGCATTCAAAATAATTCTGCAGCTGAAAGATTCAACAGAGGAAAACAACAGCATTTAATTAAAAGGGGAAAAAAACGTAAAAAGGAGTAAAAAGAAAAGAAAACTTGAAAGCAAATTTCATCCTTCAACTAACCCAAGAAATAATGAGAAAGAAACAAAAGAGGAGCTGAACAACCATTTATCTATATACTGATTGTTCATCCAGGCTCAACATGAATTAGGTGTCAGACATTCAAAAACTTAAGAGAATGAGAATTACAAATACTAACATTCAGATTATATCACTATCTTTTGCGAAAAAACAGTCAGAAATCCCAGTTGTTCCACTGAAATGTAAGATTATACTAGCCAAAACCACCACACAATTATTTACAGACATGTATATCAATGATTATGTTATGCAAAGCTAATAAATTTGTAGAGACAAAACTTAATTTAAAAAATATTATCAATAAAGTATGAAATGGCAGAACATTAAGACAGCTTTCATTTTTGTAAAGTATATCAGACAACTGAGAGGAACTGAGTATTTTGTCAATTCTACAGACCACAATAATATGCTACTGAAAAAGTTGATCACTGATGAGATTTCATAGGGGAGGGTGCAGGGAAGACGGTTCAGAGATTGACTTGATGCAAAAAAATCAACCATTCTGGACTATGTAATTTTATATATTTAGAAAATCACTTAAGCTTGAAATTCAACTCATCACTTGTGTCTAGATTTTTCATCTAAACTCTGGGTAAGAATATTACTTAAATATCATTAATGTAAATGTACACCAATTTTTATGTTGCATCACTTCAGTAAGAAAAAACTACATCCAAAATTCTGACTAAGTACTTGGAATACAGGGAAAAGCTTGTTCCCTCAGAGGCCAGCAGAAGAACTCCCTAGTATGGTTAAATTCACTCTATGGTAGGTAGGGTTATGATGTACGTTGAAGATACTGATACTTGACTGTGTAGATGAAAAAGCCTAAATGTCAACTCAAAGATCTAATTGTAAATGAAAACTCATTCCCTGAAGGCATAATCTTTCACTTCCACACACCAACACAAAGATCAAGGGCAATGAAATAACAAACCAGAAGGCCATGCAGTTTGAAGACCAAATATTTCTTTACTTCAAAAATATATCTTTATATTCAACTTCCAAGTTGCTGCACTGTAGTAGAAATATGCAATCATAAATTTATCTTGATCATTTGCATTCCGTGGCAAACTGAGCTAAGGAAAAACATCTGGTTTTCAGTGAAGACCTCTGTTACCTTGTCTTCTGTCTGGGTTCATTATACTGTAAAACAGTGGAGAAATAAGCCTCAGGGTCACGTAATCCTTTCTCCACTAAACTGTGAATTGCCTCCCGATCGAACTTTATCCAATAATGAATGAATTTGTTTATCATCCATCATAAGAACTCTACAGAGTATATGTGGAATTTTTTAATCCTCTTTTAAGATGAATACAGAAAAGTACAGCAGTGAAAGAACTTATTTTGCTTCTTAAAATCTTGCAGAACTTAAGGACAGTTTGATAGCTAACCATGTAAAAATCTGAACAAAAACTGAAGGAAATTAGAGTACTGAAAATCCTGCTTAAAAATTAAATTTATGTCTTGGGATACCATTGTTATCCTTGCATGGAGAGGCTGTTTTTCATTCTTGACTTTAAAACATGGCACATGGAAAAAATGTACTTCATCCCTTCTTGCTTGATGATATAATTCAGCAGTTAAATACTGTATCACCATTTGCATACTTGAATCCTTTTGGACATAGCCAAAAAATGATGTAAAAAACAGTAAATATCACAATCATCATTTAACTCCTGGTAAATTAATTCCTGAAGAAGTTCTTAGAACTAACATATGGCCTCCATGTAACTAGGTAGCAGGACTCTTCTGCACTGGCTTCATCAAAGATCACTTTTTTGCTAAACTTCAGTGGTAAATGCTTCAAGCAGGAGGGACTGGTAGTCTTCTTAATATTTCCATAGCTATCTTTAGATAGGCTTTAGCCTGCAAAAACAGAAACATACATTGAGCACTCCATTTTCTACAGAAAGGAGTATTTCATAACTTATTAGGTATTTGTTCTTTTACACACAAAGTGAAAATCAAAGATGTTTAAATAAGCCTTTGTTCAGTAAAAACAATGCATTAATACACAAAATAAGCATATGCATTATAGAAAAATACTGGTGGGGGAATTTAAATTTAACTGATCAATTTGTCTTTAACAACAAGCAAAGTCAATAGTCTTCAGGAAGAGAAGCGATGAGGAAGACAGACTCTTTAGTCCCACATGCACTATTAATTATAAACTTTCTTCATCCTAACAACCAGGATGCACAGGATAGAGAATCAGAGAAAACAACAGCATTCAAAAAAAAAAAAAAATTGAGACAATTAATTCTTTACAGACTAGATTATCACCATGGAATTTCCTATTCAGATATTTAAAGTATTTTTAAAAAAGACACCTTCCCAAAAGACTGAAGTAGGTATTGGAAAGAACTAATTCCACAACACTAAAATCCACACAGTTGAAGCTCTCTTTCACACCAGCCTGTGACATCTGGTCAGACACCTTGAGCTGAAGGGCACAATAGCTCAGAACTGCAGGACTATGGAAAGAAACCCAAGTAAGCATACTTATGTTAATATTTCTAAAAACCATGACACAGCTAAGACCATAATCAGTCCACCATCAATTATTAACAAATTTAATGTCAAGGGACTTTTATAAAAACACTGTATAAAGTTCAACACAAAACAAACCCTGAAACTAAATCAAATTATTCCTGTACCAAGCTCAACAACTTGTAGTTGAAAGAGAACATCTTTTAAAAATCTCAAAGACTGATATAAGAATGTGTAATTAAAGCAGTGTTTTTGTGTATATGTATATACACACTGCACCTTGTTCCAGAGATTGATTACTTTCATTGTTAAAATGTACACCTTTTCTATAAATGGAATTTGTCATACTTCAGTTTCCAGCTGGCGCATCACATTCTGTGTCTGTCGAGTACACAGCAAAGTCCCCTGAGCTTGCTCCTACTCTGTCTCATAGTGACCAACCTATTCCATCCTCTCCAGTAAGTGTGCATACAGAGACCACACTGACAACCTTCACTGCTTTTCTCCACAATAATCCCTATCTCACTGATTTCTCCTGTCTCCTGCAGGATGGCTCTAATAATGTATTAGCCCTTGTATCTCTGATGAGCCTTTAAAGCAGCAGACACATGCCAGAGGCCAGAGCTTGAGGGGAAGGAAGAAAAGGTCTGTCACGCCAGGGCCAGCAGTACTCACTGTCACTGCCCTGAACAAGGTGTTAGCCTTTTGCAAGGCCATGCACTGCTCACATCTGTCTCCCCTTTTTTAGGGATTGCTCCTGGCTTGTAGGGTTTTCTTTTTTGGCACTCTCAAGCTCTACACCTCATAGTCTCAGTGCTCACATCCCCTTAAAACTAAAGCCACAAAATTTTCCAAATTTGTAAGGAATAAATACAGCGAAACAGAATTGTTTTCTCTCACATACATGATTTTGTGGCAAGAATGACAGAATTAATTTACAACCTGGTCACAATCAGGAATTTCAAACTTCTATGGCTACAGTCACAGTGCAGTTGGGTAACAGCCTGTGTGCAACACTCGCCTCACTCAGCTATTAATGCCCTGGGTGGTCCAGCTACCCCCAACTAACCACTCACCTAGACAAGCCAATGGACTCCCTGAAGTTAGGTGACTGACTGAAGGCAAGCTGCCTTTCTAGTAAAGTATTTGACTAATCGGTGTAGGAGCGCTCCAAGTAGGAATTTCGAACTACCCAGAACAGTCCCACAGGCAGCTCCCACTTTGCACAGATCAATTCATGTATTTTAATGAGTCAGTTAACAACCTGCATACAATACCTGGCCCAAGGTATTTGCCTGCTCCAGAGTTGACTAACTTGTACACAGAACTATAAATTCTGTAACTATATTATATAACTATATTCTAAAACTATAATGAGTAAGCTTGTATAAATGTTACCTTATGTCAAGAGCCCAATACATTTTAGATACTGTTCCCACAAAATGCTGTTAATGAGTGTTTGAGCATTTCCCCAATGTACATTTCTGTACACATTTCTGTACATTTCCCCAATGCACACTGATCTTCATTTGCCAAGCAGCTGATCACCACTTTGCAACAAGAGGTTCAGGGTGCAGCTCTTTGTAGTCAGCATTCCAGCATTACCTAGAGAGTGTTCTCACCAACAGGTCTTGCCTGTTGACCTTTGGGTTTTTTGTTTTCCTGAACCACTACTTTGTCTGTCAAACAGACCAGTATCTCATACATCTCCTTACAGAACTCTACCAGTCATCTGAGCCTTGAGTCTTGAGTCTTGGTTTCCTGTCTTTGAACGAATCATGTAGCCATGAGTGAGGACCTGTCTATCAATCAACATACCTGAAATATCTAAGCAGAATTTTGGTGACTGTGAATATGCACTACCTAAAAACTACCCTATGTATATTGAATAGTTTTTCCTACTCATGATCTTTTCTATGTGGCATCCATAGACAGAGAGCACAGCTCAGTTTAGCTGTTTAATCCAGCATTACTAAACAAAAGATAGGTTGCAAATGAAACCAGACATGGTTTACTATTTCCTTTCCAGGTGGAAAACCAGCAGAGAAAGAATAAAGGATGAGAAAGAATAAAGGATGAGTTCTTATTCATCACCCATAACCTTTTCCTTTTAATAGGATAACAGCAAACTTCTCAGGTCAGTTATTCCCTTAATGTTTGAAAGCTCTACATGAATGGTTTATAGATTTTCTGAAAACCATTTTTTTGCTGACAGACAACTTTATATTTAACAACAACATAACAGTTATCATTCCTCCTACTTCATGAGGATGAAGAAGCACACAGAAGATAGAATGCCCTAAATCCAGGCCAGACATGTTTATTACGAACACTGCCTAGATGGGGTCTGAGAGCAGCACTAGAACATATAGAGGTAGAGGTGGAAGGCAATGTACACAGAATAAAAAAAAAAAAAAAAAAAAAAAAAAAAAAAAAAAAAAAAAAAAAAAAACAACAAAAAACCACAAAAAAAACCCAAAAACAAAACAAAACAACAACAAAAAAAAAATTATAAACAGCCACGTGAGAGACTGCTCACCTCTCAAACAGTAAAAAAAAAAAAAAAAACACCCAAAAACAAAACAAAAAAAAAAAACCTGATAAACAGCCACGTGAGAGACTGCTCACCTCTCAAACAGTGCTACAGTGCCAGAAGGGCATGGTTCTTAAGACCTCAAGGGCACAGCTGATAATGAAATGACTGATGACAGCATAGATGGTGGAGTAGGAAACAGAACCTGTAAAGTTCACCAGGAAATGGAGTGAAAAGTCCTACTTAGGAGAAATAATCAGAACATCCTGATTCATCACTATGTAACATAACTCTAGTATAATGGCTTAACAGATGTTGGGTAGATTTAAACTGGAAAACTTCTACTAGGCTCATCTAATTAAGCCCTACAATAATTCTAGGGAATATGAGCCTTTCAGTTATGGCATTTCATTCTCTCTAAAAATCTTACCCATGAGGGAAGTATGCATCATTGCTAAGATTACTGCAGACTGTACAGGTCATGGCTGACTCTGCCCTGTTGTCATGGATTGGACTGGTGTGGCCTGACCTGCTGGTTTGCTTTCCACTCGAGTGCAGATCTTAACCTGCCAACAGTTCATACAGTGCCTGCCAGTATCTGCTGCAACTGCCAAACACAAAACCCAACTTATAATCAACAAAGTAAAAGCAGGTAGGAGCTGATAGCACCTTTTCCTTCACCCAAACCACTCCACACGAACAACTTCAGACCAGCAACTCAGAAACACACACTGATCCCATCACTTGGTTATAGGCCTCAGACACCAGAGGATACAAATCCCAGTACTGACATGGTTTCTAATGTCTATTTCTGATTACAAGACTCCAAGACTATTAAGCTGCTTTATCCATCCTAGGAGAATCTGTGCAAGTCCTGACTGTCTGGAACATCAAATGCTGTGGATGCCAGTATATCTGTAGAGAAGGAAAAGGAATTTAAATCTGCCCAACTGACCTGTTAGGGTTTACAGTCTATTAATTGCTGAAGGAAACTAGCCACTATGAGCAACTAATCAAACAGTGACTATCACAAGGACAAATACTAGTCTTAACTACCATCTACTTGAAAATAAGCACAGCCAGCCAGTCATTGGTAACTTTGGTTCTTAGCACTCAATCAGTTCAATCATATTTTTAAATAGCTTTAATTTCCATGGAAATTGCTTGTTACTTTGACACAACTCCAGCCTTCAGTGCATGACTGAAGCTGCCTTCAAATGTCTGTATTTTACTGTGGTCAACTCAGAAGGCACTAAAAATATGATGACAAGTGCAGCTTTAAATGAGTCTACTTCAGATATAAGCTCCATGCCACCCAGAGAAATTCTTGGTTGCTACAAGAGGTCCAGAGACTATCTCACTCTGTTCCTCCTCTGGACAGCTCCATCCACCATAAGATTCTTCTTTGCATGTACTGGCAACTCTTGCCAAATTATGAAGCATCAAGTTAGAAAGGCAAACTTACTGAGACAGTAAAAGTCAATCCACACATTATAACATAAAATAGAAGAGACAGGTAAGAAAGCTGGATTTACAAAGCTAAAATCTCAAAGAAAAGTCCTCAGGGCTCATAGGAGACTTCCAATTAATCCTATATATCAGCAGTTGCAGCAGCCCAACCATTCTTAGGGGCAGCCCCAGCTGGGTAATACTGCTAACCCAAGGTGCCCTTGCAGACATCTAAAAACACATCCTGCCCAAAAAACACGGGTAAGTACAACAGTGCAAATCAAATGCACTGTAACATCCTTCAAACAGACTATCCTACACTCAGCATTTTCTTCAGCAGACAGAACCATAAATGAGGGTCTGATGATGCATTGTACTGTCTACACCCTGAATGAAGGATCTGAACCTACACGTACCAAACGCTACTGTGATGATTCAAAGGAAGCCTTGATGATAAAGGCATATTATAAATCATACCATGCAGCCTTCTTTAGGGTTTGCTTTTCTTTTAAAAATATCACTCCCTGGATTGACCACTCATTAAATGGAATTACAACTAAACTACAAAAAGGATTCTATGACTATTTGCTACCAGTACTCAAAATTTTCTCCAACTACTTCTCGCAATCTTTAAAAGGTTGTATGTTTTTACCCTACTTATGTATCACCCTTTCATAAACATTCTACAGAAGAAATGTCTCTGAATACAAATTTGAATTGTCTCTTTGGATGACACCACAGCAAGGTTTGTAACGTTCTGATTTAATTGAAAAGGGATTATTAACTAGACTTATTTTGCTCTGTTCCATCAGACTGCTGATGCATTGTGCCTCTGCTTTCCACCTTACTGGGCTTTTCCTCTTCCCTTATAAATGTGTGCAATTTATGGGACTCAGAATCCTTCACCTTAAAATCCTTCAACATTCACAGGATGTGAATGGACATACTGGTACATCAAATGTATTTTGTACTTGTTTGAGGTGGGAGGTGACAGGCAGGAGTTTGGTCCTCAGCAATCACAGATGGCCTCTCTGTTCTGCTAAGGTATTGATAAATCCACTGTGCCATCCAGGCTGTGATATATCCAAAGTTTCTAGCAAGAATTCCTCACAAAATAACCACCAACTGCTCCCTAAGTCTCTGAGCTTTATACTCACAGAAGGAAGGGCTCACAGGAACCTCTGTTTATGGTTCTCCCGGTGTGATGGAGAGTTCACTGGGCATTTAAGCAGCTCCTTTGATGGAAGAATAACTCCATTGCAATTAATCATGTTTTATATCTCTTGCTGTGCCTCCAGTCTTCTTAAATGCAAGCTTCAGGATGCCCCTTCCAAACACCTGTTTTGCTTCTGGCTCCTTTCCCATGGTCCATAGGAAGATCCAGTACATCTGAGTATAGTTAATTTCACCTAGTTTCAGTGATTCCTCATTAGTTTTCCCTATTCTACCTTTTCCCTTACATTTTTTCCCCAATTCTACCATTTTAGCAGCATTCCTGACTTTCATTTACAAGCTTTTGCTGTCCAGTGACTCTTGCATGTTTGAGCAAAAAAATGGAGCCTTGGCCAGCTAATCCACCTCCACAGTGTGATGGAGGAGAAAAATGCTCAGTTCATCTCCAGAAGGGTCTCACTCCAGAAGGTAAGCCCTCACTGTTGATTAAAGTAAGAAATTATAAGAAATTATATTCTTGTAGAGGATCTTGGGTCACTCCCAGCTGCTACATTAGGCTGACCATGCAAGTACAGCAATATTCCATTTCTACATCACAAAGTTTTATCAAAGAAGAATATTAAGAAAAAGCCACAGAAAAAGCCACCATTAAAACAACTAAGCAAACAGAAACACTGACACAGACAATGTTATACCCAGAGCAAAATCATTTTAGCAGCACTGTTATTTCTCCCAGGGGACTGCCTCAAGCTTCACCAAAAGAGAACTCCAGTCATCAAGCCTTCCTATCCTTTAGCTATATTGTCAATACTTTCCATAAGCAGATTAGTCTCATGCATTCTGTGCCTTCCCCAAGGAAGAGCTTTCTAAGTTCACATGTGTACCATTCTACAAGTAATTTCCTTTTTTAGCTCTTAGTAATTTCCTTGTCATTTGTGAAAAGGAAACCCCTTTTCCACCAACTACATCTAAGCTTTAAAATAATAAAATTTAGACAAGTTTGCTTGGACATTTTGAAATTCTAGTGTAAAGTCAGAGATATACTTTTATATATCTGCATTGCAAGATGAACCCCATGGCAGATGTGTAAGCAAAAATGTATTAACTGACATATTTTAGAAAACATTTTATTCTAGGCTTGAAAGAGCTCAAAAGGTGTGACAACATGCTGGGTTTCTAAGAAGTCAATCACCATCCCTGTTCCCTACTGTTTGAATCTGGTAGGTATTATTTCAGGTCTGTGATTCTGTATTTGATTTCTAAGTGTGTTCTAACGAAATCAGCATAGAATTTTGCATGAAAATCCCCTGCACATTTAAGTGACAAGAGCAGAGAATTTCAGCAGACATTGTTCTCTATCTGAAAAGTTGTTAATGCATGAATAGTCACAATTTCAGTTTATTTGCGAAACATGGTGATGACTGTCATGTATTAAATATTAGAATCTGACCTTATATGACCTCTCCCACCATCAGTTATGTGCTCAGAATTTCTCTTTTCTTTGAAAATAAGAGAACGATATTTTTTCTATCTTTAAAATGAGACGAAATCCAGGGATGAAGGGAAATTCTTTTCCATTCTATAAAGATTAGTGACATTTAAAAAAAACCACATTCTCTGAGGAGAACTATTATCTCAAAGACACAAAGGCAGAGAAGGATATTAAGAGTTTTCCCCAGAGTCACACGTATTTGTCAATCTTTATTCCTCTGCATATTTAACTTAATTGCCACAAATGGTGATTATAACCCATCCTTTTGTTATCAAGAACATAGTTCAAGGAGGAACAGATGGCAACACAACAGACTTTCTTGCCTTTTTATTTTCAGAATGCTATCCCAAACATGTCTGAGTTCTTTGCTCAACAGTCCAGCAGACTACAGACTCTTGGTTATTACAGATTTCAGATACTGTGAGCCTTCCATCCCAGTTTCCAGCTGTTTTATTTCAGCTTTGACCAAAGCCATACATCCATTCAAACCTCCACATTGCAGACCAAACCTCCCAGAAAGAAACTACCATATGGATTATAGAGATTCCTTTTCAGATAGACCTGGACTCAAGATCTCTACATTATTCCCTACCATGGGCCTTGCCCAAACCTAGCAAAAACATGGCATTCAATCAGAAGTCAACACACCATAGTGCTGCCTCTTCTCTTTCAAAACAAAATTACAATTTTAAGACTGTCACTGTTCTTCCAGAAATCTGCTCAGTATGTTAATAACACTGGATTAACAATGTCAATGCTCTCCTCCTCCCTTTTTTTTTTCCTTCTAAAATACTGGGAAGGAAAAAACACATTTCAGCATGTGCCTGGCAATCATGATATTGAAAAAGCTACTAATATTCACATGTTCCACGGGTACAGTCTACCTTACTGTGAAGTGATTCTACCATCTGTTATTAGTATTATTTTTTCACTATATATCTTTACATCTAAGCAGCAGTCTAGAGTGGGGCTGCATTATGCCATATACTGTGTACAGCACCCTGCCCTACAGAGCCTGGCAAACAAACTAGCAGAGAAAGAAAGTATCAGACAGGAAAACATTACTCTATCAGCATTAATTAAATTTTGTATGCACACATATTTTTCTTTACAGATTTGCTTATTTGACTCCCACTACCTCACCAATTTTCCATTGACAATAGAATGTTATGGTAAATACACTGAAAAAATCCATTTCCTCATGTGTGCAAATTGCTCCGTTTCCTGCTAAATATAACCCAGGTACCGACAATATTAAGTTCTGTCCTAAACATCTTTGGGTAAGACCCTTTGACACTTTCCAGGCTGAGCAACCAAAGGGTTAACTGGCAGTTTTAAAGGATCTACATTAGCTGCAAGGTCTCATGAGGCTTGACACTGACCTTCCTCCTGTTAGCGTGTCAGGATCTGGATCAAATCTTCTCTATTCTGAATTATTCAGCCTAATTAAACAAAACCAAACCCACAGAAGCAGAACAGATGACCAGGACCCCAAAATCAAGGGCCTGAGTTACTTACTGGTACTGCCTTCTTTTACTTTATTTCCTTACTTCATTCAAAAACCCGTTTCTTTCCAAACAGCAGTAAGAAGCAGTACTCCCCATTCACTTTCAGAGGAGAGCTTTCTGTTGTTTAAGTGCAGTGCACCAAACTTACAGCATCACTTTGAGGCTGAGAGATCACAACAGGCTGTCCTGAATCACACGTCTCCCGTATATTAATGTGCAGTGGAACATCTCCTGCATCAAAAATACCAAGACACACATATGTGAACACCTAGTATTTCTTAAATGTTTCCTTAAAATAACCCTAAAGCAACTTGAAATCCAATTCCCATTCAGTATACTCTTTGAATCGCTTTATCTCCAAAAATTAGCATTTAAAATTAAAATTGGCTCCAGTATAGTTTACTTACAACCATAATGATTAATGCCAAACATATTTTGTATTTCTCATTTTCTGAGTAGAAAGGACCATGTTTTAGTCATTTATTACAGAAGGAAGGGTTTTTTGCCTCAAACACAGAAAAATACAGGCTGAGATACAAATTATTTTGTTTATGTGAAAGTAATTGTCTGAGTGTTAGGCTGAACAGTAAGTTGCATGATGAACAGTTGCCTATCTCCTCATTGTAAGTTCTTTTCAGTGCTGTTTTAAGATTTTAATCACTGTTCAAAGACTTCTTTGAATACCTAATTTCCAAATAATAGCATTTGTTTTTGTCCTTATTAGGCCTTGGATCCAATTCAAAGGTGGACAACTATTCAGTTCATTCTTCTTGCCAACAGAAATCTTCTTTATATTCTGCTTTTATAATGAGCAGGGAACTGCCAGAGAGGAAAGGAACATTCTAAAGGAGAATCAATTAGCAGTCCTATTCCGTTCTGAGACATACTTTCTGAAACACAGATTTCACCACTACAAAAAACTTGAAGATTCCTATGTTTACTGCTATATAAATAATTTTGAAGTAAATTGAAGACCAACTTTCTTTTACTGGAAGACATAGCTACATTTTACATTATGGATAGCTGAAGACAGAACAGCCTACCTTAGTTCAAACCTGACATACCAGAAATCATATTAGTTTAATTCATACATTTTAGCAAACTAATTTAACTCAAATCAAGGCCAGTGTAAATTACTGAGAGTCAATGTATTCAGAAAAATAAACAGTTTAAAAAACTGTATGGAAATTGACAAGTTTTAAGAAATAAAAAAACCCAAACTCAAAGCAAATAGGAATACAAGCAAATAGTAAACACAACAGCTGTGGCTCCATGATTAATGTGTTGAATCTTTGAAGAACATTATTATTATTATTATTATTTAGGATATTTACAGTCCATTTACTTCAATTTTTTTTCTTATTTATTTCAGTAATTAATAAATTTAGGTATAATAGTCTGTTCATATATTCATTTTTTAAAAATTCAGGGAGTCCTCTGAAAGTTTTCTAACCATAATCATTCTGAATTGAATAACAGTAATTTGTAAATCTCCCTGATATTCACTTCCTACTCTTATTTTATGTAAAGACTAATCTTCTTTTTTTTCCTAAGGATGTTTTGGTAATGAAAAAATACTTCTTCAACATCAGCTTAATAACAATCTCCAATAACTACAAAATAGCAGCCTCTCTCCTTTCCTCCTCAGACTTACAAACATGTGATGGTACTACAAGAGCATACAGGACTTGTAAGAACAGAAGTGCAGTCCAAAGACAAAAAAATGCACTATGCATTATAATTTTAAAAAATCAAAAATTTCTAATTTAACCAGAAGACATCAAAACCATCTGCATAGCTGTTTGGGTGGTAAGAGTTTGAGGAAGATAAAACTTTTGCACTATTCTTCACTACCCAATGTAATGGGAGCTCAACATTCCTGATATTAACTACTACTGACTGCAAAGAAAGAGAGTAATTTGAATTTACTGTAGGAAGAAAAATCAAAGAATTTTAAAAATCTGGCAGTCATTGCTGTTCATCAGGAACCAGATGGTGTTAAAAAAGTCAGGCATTGCAAAGGTCAGGATGGAACACAGAAATTATTATCTCAGTATCATGTATACCAATAGCATAGCTTCCTGGTCACAGTTACAGCCCTCAAGCTTCAGGGAAAAAATTTCAGACATGGGGAGAGGAAAACTCAGCAGCAAAAAGTCTCTCACAAACTTTGTCACATATTCCTTTAGAGAACAGTAAAAATACAAGACAATCAGAAGTATATGAAATAATGGACTTCACTTAAAAGTCTCCTGGCAACTGCTAATTGTCTTCTGCCATAAACAAAAATTCAGTAAAACTAATGACAGCCAACTCTGAGTAAGTGGAAGGACGATGCTTTTCAATCCTGCACATTGTTAGCCTGCAGAATTTGTCTGATGTTGGCTGACAAGCATCTTGTTGGGTTTCCAAGAAGGACTAGGTGCTTATCTAAACAAACAGAACAGCCATAGGTGTCAGAAAATATCAGCAAAATAAATTCAGAATCACTCATTTTAAATATATGCACTTTACAGACACATATGTAAAAATATATTCAAGGTTTTTGGGCAGGATTCAAGGAATACGGAGATAAAACTTCAATTTGGGATGGATTAACGTAAAATCTGCAAGCAGTAATTCTTACAATACCATATGGTATTATTATGTAATGGCCATCCCTGGAAGGAGGAGCATACTAATCAGATCAAGTACTGTAATTCAAAATTTAGCCCTTGGGGCATTATTCTTAATCTTAGTCTGGCTTTGCATTGACAGTTTGAAGTTAAACTTCACTCTGCTTTATTTTGTACATCTCATCTATCTCCTGCTAAATCTGTACATCTCTCCCATCACTCCTAATTAAATCCAATCACAATCAGTTCTGCACTCTTAGGAAATAACAAAAAACACCTATGGGACCAATGCCATGGTACATTATTCGTGCCTGCGTATCTAAATGCATGTTTGATTCAACAGCTTGCAGAGCATGTGCATCCATCCACATAACCCAGGGCTGTAGAAGTCCCCTTGGGCTCTGATCGCAACTCATTACATATTCAGAAAACTAAAAGATAGCCCAAAAGCATGTCTTTAATTATGTGTTGCCTTGCTATCTTAAGTCTGTGTCAGACCTTGATGTTTTTGTGTTGATCTTTCTAAGTGAGCTTCCTGGTTCCTTTTAATGAATTAGCTATGGAAAATCATTGAGGTAATTAGAGTAATATATGGAAACACATCATTAGCACATGCAATTACCCCATTTACCGACTTAATTATGCTGTGTTATATTCTTTACTTACAGCACAGGTTGAACCATGCCTTTTTAAATCACTCACGTATACTTTAAAGATCCATGTATATTTTAGCCTACAGGCATGACAGCTTAATCGTAGCTAATCATAGAATGGTTTAAGTTGGAAGGGACCTTAAAATCATTTCATTCCAAGCTCCCTTCCATAGACAGGGATGCCTTCAAGTAGAGCAAGTGGCTCAGGGCCCCATCCAAGCTAGCCTTGAACATTTTCAGGATTTGAGCACCCATGACTCTAGACAACCTGTGCCAGTCCCTCACAGTAAAGAATTTCTTCCTAATAACTAATCTAAATCTACCCTACTTCAGTTTAAAGAAATTCTCCATTGTCCTATCATTGCCTGCCTTTGCAAAAAGCCTCCAGCTTTCTTTTAAGACCCGTTTACATACCAGAAAGCTGCTGTAAGGCCTCCATTGAGTTAATATGTAACAACTCATTTAATTTAAACAAAATAAATGCAAAAATATTTATTGATATTACTAACCAGAGTTTAGGTCTGTCCTAAGACTAAAGAGAATTCTTGGTTATTTGTTAAAATTGCTGTATAGTCAAGCACATAATGAAATTTCAGGTAATATAGCACATTGATATCAAAACAGTTCATGTTCTGAATTATTTGTGAATACAAAGATTTAAAGTGCAATTCAAGAATTTTCATATGCAATCAACATCACCATTACAAGGCTGTCAAGGAACAGAGCATACTACTTGTTAGTCCCATTATATCTGAAAACAGTCTGAATCCAAAGTAACCTAGGATATGCAGTTTCATCATTCAGTTAATGCTTCATGCACACCATTAAATTTTTCTTCGAAAATAAAATCATTTCCATATTCTTACCCAAAATATCCAGTCCAAGGGTTTTTGCCAGATCTCTTACGCCATCAGTTCCAAAAATATGTGTCTCATGCTTACATTTGGGACATTGGAAAACACTCATATTTTGAACCAGTCCTAAAACCTATCAAAGGAAAGGAAAGGATGCTCAAACCAAGCCGTGGTATTTCCATTATTCATTTCTGATAATACAGAATAGATTAGCTACTAAGAACCAACACAGCATGGTTATTTAGTAAAGGAATCACACTCAATAGCATTATCAGCTCTTATTAGTCATCTCAGTAGCACCATCATCTGTGCATTATTTCAATTTCTTCACATTTATACCTATTGAAGACTAACAGACTTATTTGTAACAAAAAGTACTTGCACAAACCTAACTTGCCAAGAACTCTCCCTGCCAGTATTTCATTTTCAAACTCTGGATAGTGGAAGAATTTTCATGCTGTGTTTTACAGTTTTGTACTTCGCATTTTTCAGGAAAGACAAAATAAAAACATACCATTACAAGAAATTTCAAATCAGATGTGCTTTTAAGGTATTTTTATAAGTTATCCTGTAGGGAAATGTTTTCAAAAAGAACCAGATTTGTTTTTCTTCTGAAGAGCAGTAACACGTTTTAAAGATCAAACAACAAAAATAATTATCTGAAACTAAGTGGCATAGCATAAAAATCTAATACCCACACCCTGGGTTCCTTTCCATTGATGCCAGGTTTTCCACATCATCCTTATAAAATATTTCAAACAAAAATTTACCAAGTCATTCACACAAACAGTCTTCTTTCACAATGTGAAATAATGCTAATAATCTCCTTTTATTCACATAGTAAACAAAACTCTTCAGGCAGAGCAAAATTTCCAGAAGTGATGAAAACACTGTTCAAATGCTACAGGATGGAAATTTCTATCCACCTGCTAAGAAATAGAATGTCTGCTTTAAGACATGCAATGTTACAACATTTCACTTTCAGATTTATACATTACCTCGGTAAGTCATATACACTATAGCTGAACTTTATAATACACCATGTATATTACTATTTACTTTGTAGTATTTTGTACTTCTACAATTTCCTGAACCTCCTAGTTTTGTGCTTGAACAAGTTGGTCTCCAGTTATTAGAGAAGAAACATATCCACTATGCTAATGAAGCATACCTAGGAGGAAACAGCAGTGTTCAGTGCGACCAACAAATATATTTTATTAAAAGTGAATGTACAACTTCCGGCAATGAACTTAAAATAAGAAAGTATGTTCTTTACAATATCATAATAAAAGTTTCCTTGGCTATAAGCTGAAATTTATCAAAATGGTCACCTGCTTTTTCTACACCAGAAAGTACATCTGATACATCTTCCTTAACTTATGTAAAACTCTCAGATGGTTTAATGCAAGGACCATTTTAAGATATAATATGATTTAAAAAAATTTTACCTACTTCCACCTCAAACCTTTACCTACCTCAAACCTTTACCTACACCTCAAACTGACTTTCCCCCTTTTCTACTCTCTCCCAGGGACTGTCCAAGAAGCAAGAGGAACAAGAGTCTATTCACTGGGACATTATTACAGGTAAATTTATCATCCAGTTCTTACATTAGTAGAGACATGAAATAATACATGTCCAAGGGTATAAGGTGCAGGAACAGTAAAAAGGGACCTGCACAGCCACAGCCTTCTACAGATGACCTCTAAGCAGGCATTCATCCTGCTCTCCCCTAAAGTCAAATCATGGAGTTTTACTCTGTTGGTAAACTGAAGAACACTGAAAGGTGTATTTTTGACAAAAGAAAAATATTATTTTGACAAAAGAAAAATATCCTCCAGGATATATGGAGGCCATTTTTGAGAGTACATGGGGGAAAACAAAAAGCAATTTGAAATGTACACTTTAATTCATTTTCAGGTATCTTGGGGTTTGAACTTCTGTTCTCTTCAAAGCACTCATACAACATTTATGATTCAGCAAATTTATCAAAGAAAACTTTATGTAGTCTACTATTGTTTTGTGAATAGCTAAGAACTATTACAGCTGTTTCATTCATAGTTTAATAACCTAGTAACTAAGAAGTCCTTCAGCCAATACAAAAGCAAATGCTGAGACACAGCATTTGTATATACTAGATACAAATACTAGATACATCTAGTATCTCAAATACTAGACCAGTTTTAGAGGCCTCATACATGGTGCTTTTTGGTTTCCATTTAAATAAACCTTACTAAATGGAAATGACATTTCAGCATTACCCAATAATTTTGATTTTTCCATGTTAGTCCTGTTTGTCAGCAAATAAATAGTGCATATTTAATAATATATAATTTATTCTTCTGGACTATGAAGATTCCACTTAAAAAAATCTAAGTATAATATAGAATATTTCCAAATACACTATTTTACTGCTGAAGTGTATTTCTACCATGCATATTTCTGCACATATATTTACAGAAAGAAGCTCCTTATGACCTTCAGAGCTTTTAAATCTACAAAGTAATAGGTCTTGCCAATGAAGTCGGTAATAACCTGCATTTTCCTGCTCAAATAATGGACTTTTAATAGCTTCAAAACAGCTGTTACTGTCTACACAAACTACTTTGTAAGTGTGGGTGATTTCTATTCTAGTTCTCATTGAGCTTGGCAAACTTGGCTCAGGAATGACATGAAAACTTCTCTGCACCACGATACAGGAGCTAACCTATGGCAGCAGCATGGAGCTGCATTCCATTTAGTCTAATTGTTATTTTAAACAGTGAAGAGGCATCTGGCAAGAAATAACAGGAAATGAAGAACCCTTTCATTATGAGTTATCTGCACACAGTTTCTGAATGTTTACATACTTCTTGTGCTCAGCTAACCTTTTGGTTACACAATAAATCATGCTTAAATCCAAATATACAACATTCTAAGTTAAAGAAAATACAGTGATGAAATGAAAGCTCTCTGTATTTACATTAGGAGACAATTCCTGAGAAACCAACTTCAGTCATTCACTCACTGCACTTAAGGACAGATGGTGTTGAGGTCTGACTTCAGTCTGATGGGGACTGAAATGACAGTGTTACAGCTCCTCTGCCATCAACTCCCCATGTCAGTCAGTCACTTTGCATTGAAGGGCTTCAAGTAAACATGCACAATATTTCTGTCTTCCTACCTTTCATCTTATACTGAGCAATTCCTGTCTCTAATATCTGCTCGCAATATGAAGCCATAATTGTGGCTGGTTACTCTGGATGCTTCAGAAAAACCAGTAAGAACATAGCCAAATAAGCCATTTTAGTACAACTCAGAAGGAAATACATAGCTGAGTTTATCTAAGCAGTTTCTTGAAACCTGCAAAATCTATGGCACAACCTTCCAATTCAAGGAAACTTCCAGAAAATTTGCAGATCTAACTAAAACCTGGTTTTTCCTTCAGGGATTGATAAGATAAGAAATAATGTACTGAACTCAATCTCAGCGGGTGGAAATAGGCAGTTTTTTTCATAACTACTCAAAAATATTCCCTTTGAGTCACCCTTGGGAACACAAGAAAACATTGGCCAAACTTGCTTAATAGACAAGAATATTGAAACTTGTCATAGGAGTCAGCAATACTCTGTAAATTCCTTCTTCACTGTAAGTGCAGGTGTACTCCACTGCACAAGAGATGTCACTCCTCTTTTAGTGACTCTATCCTAAGACTGAAAATTTTAATTTTGCCCTATAAACCTGGTTTTAATGCTGACTCTCCACCACTTTTTCTTTAGTTGCTTCAGTCATTCTACTTCAATTTCAATAAAGGACAAACAACATTAACAACTGTGACTTTACTGTGGTAGTATGTCATCTGAGTCTTTGATAAGTAATAACAGTGGGTGTGAGGGGAAGGTGGAATACATAGGCCTGTACGTACATGGGAGAGACCACTCATTAAATATAAGAAAGCATACTCAGAGTTCAGCAGCCTATAGCCTCTGCTTCTTTGAAAAGTGAGCTCTCTGCAAGCACTTACTGAAAGATGAAAGATTTTAGAGATTAGAAATTTGAAGATTGGTTAATTATGTAATGAGGATATGTAATTTTAGCACAGACCTGCAGATTCTACCTCTTTGACATAAACCTCAGGTCTGAAGCTGTTCATGAAAAATTATGTCACTTCACTTTCTTTAGATCATCATATTTAGTTGACATTTAGAAATGTAGTACACAGGCAGAAGCAGCTTTAAAACTCAAGTAACTGACATATTTGTACACATGTACATACAGGGCAGAATAAAAAGAAGCAGGGTAGAATAAAATAAAGCATTCTTATAAAAATGTAAGGCCTGATAACTGGTTCAAGTGCATTCAAACTCAACATGTGGTGTAACAGCTTTATTGTGACTTCTCACTTGATTTGTCAAGATCTGATAATTCCAATGAACCAAAACAGATCATAATTAATATCTTATCTTCCACTAGTCAAATCAGTATTAGCCAAGCTCATCCTAGAATGCACAATTTTCTTGGAGGCCATTCTCTTCAAAGGACATTGAACCAAACAGTTTTAGAAAGAAATCTGGGTAATTTCTCATTAAAACAAAAGGAAAATTCAGTGCAGTACTAACCTTAACACAATTTAAATTGAAAATAATTTTATATCATTTGAGCAAAACCAAACATAAAATCAAAACAAAATGTTCTGTATGTTATTGCTCTTGTTTTCCTTCTGGAGGCAAATTATAAATGTTACAATACTTCCATTTTGATGCAAATATGCTTAAAGAATAGTTAGTAATATGGAATTCAAAGTATTTCTTTTGTTAAGCCATCCTGTAAATTAAAAAAGGGAAAGCATTCACTTCAACTTTCTGTTGCATTTTTTTAATTAGGAAAACACTAGCTATGAAAGAAACTTCCTTTCTTAAGAAAGAATAAAAGTGACTTTCACACAGGTAAATGAGAAAATATCTTTTTTTCCTTACAGTTTATGATAAGGAAGCATTTCAAATCGTATTTTTTCATCAACTGCCCATTTTAAAGTACAAATGAATCTCTACATAAACATATTCTAGAGTACTACATTCAGTTACTTAGCAACTTGTAGCACCCAGAGAAAATATCATGTCAAGGATGTCAGCCTGTTTAATATTTTCTCCTAATTGTGGATATTCTTAAATTTCTCATTTCTTAAACAAGTAAGCTAAGATATAAGATGTAAACCTCATGAAAAAGAGTGACTGGACAGTCTTCTACTTGTCATGATTGTTAAGAGTCCTTCAAATGGCAAAGTAACTAGATATAAGCTTATCTCCACAAAATTTTCAGTTTGCTTCTTAAAAAGTATTAATAAATTATTTTTCTACATTTCATAAAATTTGAAACCCCAATACAGACACTGCAAATAAGAGGATATGTAATGAGGACACACAGTATAACTGAAAGGCATACCTTACTTCCTAAGATATTTTGTTCAGCATTCTGATCCATTCCACATGAATAAACAAACAGATTTAAAACAAATCATTTATTATTATAGCTTCAGCCTGAGAAAATTCTCTCTTTTCTGTTTAACCAAGCTCCTGATACAGATATATGTAAAATCTTGTCAAAAGGCTTAGAATCTATTAAAGTGATTTCTGAATGTTCACCTATTGCTGCATATGGATTTTTTTTTACATTTTGGAAAAAGAAAACCCTGGTATTTTTCATGTAGAAACTTACAGGTACATGGACTTTTCTAAACATTTCAGCTCCTTTGTGTGCATCCAGTAAAGCCACATCTTGTGGGGTGGAGACAATGACAGCTCCTGGGAAAAGAAAACATGAAATCCCATTAAAATGCATATTATTAATTATTCTGCTAAATATTTTAAGTATTTAGTACATTCTACTAAATTCACAGTAGTCACACAGTTATATGCATTTAAAGAAGAAAATTATTTTTTATTATACAATGATCAAAATAACTGAGATATTATATGAAGTGATAAAAATCACTTTTTAAAGATATTTTTATCATAACTTTTTCTATGTAGAAACCATTTATACTTTCTAAATTAGAAACATTATCTAGTATCATACAACCATCCACATGTTGACAGATTGCAGAGGTGGTACTCTGGGAATATCTACAACAGTAACAATCCCATGCCATAATTATATTTGAAAGCTTCTAATTTAACAATAAGCCTTGTTCTAAAACCAGGAGGCAGCTGCTTGTAATCAGACTGGTGTTACACCTTCTTGAACCATGCCTCACTAGACACAGTCCATTTGTATAAATTATACCACAAAGGAAGAGGCCAATTGATGCACATTTGCACTAGGTTTGAATAAAGTGTTGCTCACTGTTTAGACATGGCTCCAGGTTATCTGGTAATTAGTACTCCTGAGAGTTATTAAGCATAAAAAACAGCCAGAGCTCCTTCTCCAAGTTAGATTCTAAAGTAAAGTAAGCCTACAGGTTACTATCCTATACTGGTATTACTTCTTGATTAATACAGCATGAAAAATCAATACAGACATCAGAATATTCCATATCACTTTACAAAGAGCATCTTTTTCCAAATACTCAGGGGTTTCAAATGTTATTTCTTCAAAACTTGCAACAAAAATCTGTTCACATTTGTCCATATTTTACAAAAATGTAATGCACAAGGGAGCATTACTGGTCAATTGATTAGCTTTGGTTTCAAATTGATCATCTAGTGTCAAAAGTCTCTATTACAAAAAGATTTCTGTAAAGTCATATTGTGACAAACATGTACAAAAAATTCATGTCAAGCTTCACACTAATAGCAATTACAACAGAGAATTATAGATGCTTGGGACAGTTTCCTACTGGATCTGCAGCTCCCAATCCTCATTGTAAATGGCAAAGGAAGAGTTTCATCTACCTCTGGGTAGATTTCCAGAGGCATGCAACCCTGGCATAGCTGGCAGGGACCAGAGCACCAGAAGTGCTGGCATTCTGAGAGCACTCCTGGCTCTGGCAGCACTGGGACAGGGAGCCCTGCCCCTGCAGCATCCTCCTGCTGCTGGGAACCTGCCTGCTACAGCCAGCCCTTTCCAAACACCGCCTGACAGCATGTTTGAGTGTTTTCAGCCAGCATTCTTAACCTCTAATTTGTGAAAGAAAAATACAATCTGGCACCTCGCTCCTGAAAAGCTGCCAATCTCTGCCTCACACAGTATTATACACAAGTCCAAAAACTGAACAGCACATGTAATGTACCAAGCAAATGCAATTTCCCTATTTGCTCAAACTCTGGCACCCAAATAATTTGCTGGTATTCCCAAACCAACCTGTATCCAATGGCATCACAAAGAATAATGTGTAAGCTTTTCAGTTACACTAAAATCACCTTAGCTCCTCATTTCACCAAACGCAGGGTTACTTTACAAGCAGCACTGAAATGTAGGGTCAACTTCACACCTTTCCCTAAAAGCACAGGCCACAGGTAAATGATTTAGACTCAGTGTCCTTGACTTTTGCATATTTGTAAAACAAAAATCTTTCAATACTTGAAAAATGCTTATTACTGCTTTCTTTCCAAGCAAAATTGGAAATAACTGCCTTGCGTGTACACACACTTATATTCACACTCTTCTTTGAAGATGCTGGCTCAGCATTCCCTGGATCTTCACACAGAACCCAATATGCAGTCAACAAAAATGAAGTCCACATTTTCTGGTACATTATTAATTGTTTTAAGAATCTAATAATTGGCATGGCATGAAGGACAGACTATGCACAACAAAAACATCCACTAGAACCACAAGCAGCTTAATTGAGAGATATTCTTTACTAACAAATTCTCATCCAAACAGAAAAATCCAAAAGTATCAAAATGACCCAATGGCACATTACAGAGTTTGGGCTGCCACAAGCACCAACTGTCTGTACAAAAAATCTCTGGCTCCTGAAATACATGAGTTAAAATTATGCTTGTGGACAATTTCCATGGCTTCTTCCATAGAATGAAAGCCAACATGCTCAAGAAGCTGCTGTTGAGGGTGTAATAGTTGTTTCTCTCCTATTTTCCTTTTTACTCTGAGCTAGTTACAGGCAAAATTTATTCACAGCCAGTTTGTACTGACTAACACCAACACCCTGTTAAAACAAGTATCTTCTCTCTTTCTTTGGTACATCTTCTAGTCCAACAAACCCAACCTGAAGTTCAAGAATTAAAATTATTTGCAGCATTATTTCCTCTACCAGGAACCAAATATGGAAAATGAGACTTTTCATGGTGCTCCCCTCCCTGAATGTTTGCATATGTTTAATTCAGAAGATGATTCAAATGATTCAAATGATAAGCAAGAAAGAACACTGCCTACACTTTCCTTGCTATCTCGACTCTACACAGTTAATGGGAATATCAAACAGTAAAGAGTTATTTTGATCAATAAAGTAAAATATGATGGAATTCATGCACATGGTATGTCTCTTGAAGCAGTACATGCCATGTTTACAAAAGTGTCTGAATGAGACAAACTGAGGCTGACAAATTGAACGGAGATGCTGCAGAAGCTGTAAGACTAAATCACATCACATAGTGAAACCTACTAAAAATTCTGTGTTTGCAGTTGTGTGCAGAAAAATAATTTCTGTGCCTTAAGCATACTAAGGATATCTAAGTAGAGCATATTTATGTTTAACTGACTTATCTACTTACTAATGCATTCAATTTTTTTTTTTAATTTCTCTGTATTTCTTTTGACAAAAAGCTGATGCATGTTCACCAAATCACACAGAATCTGTGACTGGATCAGGCTGGAAGGCACCATGGCAGATCACACAGTCCAGTCTCCCTGCTCAAGCAGGGTGCCTAAGAGTATATTGCTAAGGATTCTATCCAGATGACTTCTGAGTATTTTCAGAGCTGGAGGCTCCACAACCTCTCTGGGCAGCCTGTTCCAGTGTTTAATCACCTGCACATTAAAGAAGTTCCTATTTACATTCAGGAGGAATTTCCTGTACATCAGTTTCTGCGCGCTGCCTCTCTTCCTACTGCTCAGTACCAGCAAGAAGAGCCCAGATCCTTCTTGACACTCTCCCTTCAGATACCTATATATATTGATAAGATCCCCTCTCAGTCTTCTCCAGGCTAAACAGCCCCTGGTCCCTCATAAGTGACATGCTGCCATACCCTACTTTGTCCTTTGCTGGTCTACCTACAGCAGCTCCATGTACTGAGGGATTCAAAACTGGACTCAGCACTCCAAAGGAGATTGTATTAGTAAAAACTATGTTAACTGTATTTTTAATCCTTAGGACACACCATATATAGAGAGACAGAACTCACATTACCCTGTAACATTGATGTTTGCCTTTCTGTTTCAAACCCAGGTCCCTAATCCTAACTAACAGATGTGCCTACGCAGAACATTGGTACCTTTCTGGTGGAAAATTCAGCACATTACAAGCACTCAAACAGCCTTTCTGAGTATAGAAAATATCACCTATATTCACTGCATCATTAAGGCTTACATTAAATACTTGGAGTTATAAAGCATAAGGTGAAATCTCACTAAACCTTAGCTATAGTCAATTTGCACCCAAGCAAAAAACACGGAGCTCTAAAAAGCAGCTAATCAGCAGTAGTGTGGAAGGTCTACCTTAGGATGAAAAGGATGCCCCTAATATATTCTGTTTCCCCTCCAGTGTCTTCACAGATAGATTCCAGAATCAGGCGACGTGTGTCTCACCCAAGATTAAGGTTCCCACCACACACTGTTAGACCATGTCTTATATCAGCCTCTCAGCAAACAGTGCCACCTCAAAAGCTGCAAAGTATAACTGACCACGGAGACTGACAGAGCTCTGGAGGATAAAGACACAGAATAATTGTATCTGCTGACTGACAGTCACTGAACACTCTTGGCAAGGAACCACATTCAAGCCTCAGTAAAGCTGTAGATGACCTGATTTGACCACACCACTCATGCACTTCTTGCAGTTTTTGCTACCTTTTCCACTGCATTAAACTCAGATGTTTAGATGATATCTTCCAGTCATAAATAGTCTGATTAACCTCACTCTTCTCTACCACGGATCTCTTCAGAGCCCCTCTGACCTTGTCTTAAATTTGTCCCTTCATAGATAAAATTTGCTTGCAATAATAAATACATCTTTGCCCTTGAAGATATACATTTTAGGAAAAAAACTTGCAAGATCAAAGACTTCTGTCTTTGCTGTATTTTCAATTGGCAACTATTAGAGATAAACTAACATTAGAAAATTGTTCATCTTACAGGATAAACCTCATAAAGAAGTTCCTTCAGCTTTTGTGTGTGGCATCTCATTGCAAACAGCAACTTAGAAGAGCCAAGTGTGATTTTTCATCCTCACTTCCTCCTAATATAGCTCAGAACCGTCCCAAAGGCTGGATCCTGGCTGCATCACACTTCCAGCCTGCTTGCTACCTTCTTCTTGGAGGAGTCATTGAACAACTGCTCGGACAGGGGATGTTTCCAACAGCCACACATCCTCTTCTGCCCAAGAACTAAGCAGGTCATAAAAGATCAGGACACTATCAACTTGCCCACATGAAAAGAGAACAGAAATCTTACAGCAATATTCCTCCTCCTGCTCAGTGGAACTGTCAGCTGGATAAAGCTGTCACCCTAAAGCTAAACTGCCTTCATCTATACTGATCAATAAGTATTATATCATCCATTACACACCAGATCACATGGAGAAAGATGTGGAAGGACAACTCTCACTGTGGTAAAATGTTTGGTTTTGGTCATGGCAAATTGAACACATGTCACACTAATGCAATTTACAACAAAGTATTTATTT